TGAAGGGGGTTGATTCATCTGAAAGTCAGAATTCTGCAAATCAACCCCTAAACAATACAAGCATTTTTGTCTAGGAAAGGAAAGTTTCTAATAGAAGAGACGTAGTCTCTGGTAGAATTCAGGATTCCTAAGGCCTGTATTGCCTCCTCTCAGCCTCAGAGTAAGCCAAAGAAGTAACACAGCTCCCAGAAGGCTTTGCTTTCACATTCACTTTCTGTAAATTATTAGAGTAGTAAATTCGGCAAATTTAAGGAGCACAGGAGGGCTACTTAGCATGATCTGCATATAGATTCTTTCTAGACTCCTCATGATCAGTTTTCTGCTCAAAAGAAAGCTGCTGCTTTCTTGTCTGCCCAGTCTTGGTCTGCATGCAACTCTGAAAACTGCAGAGGAAGGAACCTCACCTCGACCTCTTCTAGTCAAAACAGAATATAAGCCTAGTTGTGAGCTGAGGAGTGATGCATACATTAACTTTCTTTAAACACACACACACACACACGTTTTCATTGATTTTTTAGACAGAGAAAAACATTGATGTGAGAGAGTAAAATTGATCGGCTGCCTCCTGCACACCCCCTACAAGGGATTGAGCCTGAAACCCAGCCATGTGCCCTGACCAGGAATTGAACTGGGACCTCTCAGTCCATGGGATGACACTCAATTCACTGAGCTACACCGACCGGGCTACAATTCTTAACTCTTCCTCATATCTGCTGTGGTAGACTTTTCAGTTAGCCACAACAATGACTCCCATCCCACATGCACTTATGTAACTTTGCCACTCTTCCTGTTAATGGGTAAAGCTCATTTCCCCTCCTCTTGAATCTGAGCTGGCCTTCTGACTAGCTTTGGTCAACAGAATGTGGCAGAAGTGATACTGAGTTTCAGAGCTTAGGCCTTAAGAGGCCTTGCGGCTTCTACTTTTGTCTTCTTAGAGAGCTGGGCCTTCATGGACATCCAGTGATCCTGATAGATAAATTACTTGATAAGAGAGAATTGAGAGAGAGAGATTCTAGAGGTTGAAAGACCTCAAAAGGAAAGAGGCCCTGGAGGATGAATCTATGAAAGAGACTCCGACATTCCAGCCATTCAGCTGAGGGTCAAGAAATAAAGCCAACTTGGATCCTCCAGCCCAAATCAGTGCTGCCTGGGTGAGCTCAAGCCCTCACCACATGGAACTTAGACAAGCCATCCTCGTTGAGGCCTGCTCAGACACAAGTAAATACATAATTATTGAGACTCTTACGTTTTGGAATGGTTTGTTACACAGCAATGAATTACTGAAATATCCACAGTACTAACCAAAGGCTCTTTGGCCAAGTGTTTTTTTCCCCTAAATTTTTGTCCTTACTCAGTTTATTTATTTATTATTTAAAAAAATATGTTTTTATTGATTTTAGAGAGAGAGGAGGGAGAGAAACATCGTTCCACCGCCACCTGCACACCCCCTACTGGGGATCGAGCCTGCAACTCCTGCATATTCCCTAATCGGGAATGGAACTGGCCACCTCTCGGTGCATGGGACAACACTCAATCAACAGAGAGCCACACCAACCAGGGCTGTTTTTTATTTTATGATCAAAAGCAAAATGTCCACCGGGATTAGGCAATCTGTTATTAAAATAAACATTAGAAAAGACAAGGAAGGATATGGGAAAGGAAGTCAAAGTTGGGTCTAATTGAGAATACCACCAGTGAAGTCTGTTTTGGGAATCAGGAGACAGGTGTTCCTTGGTTTACCAAGAAGTTCCAGGGTCCAGAGTCCTAGGAGCAGGAGTTTGTGAGAGATGAAAATGTGTCAATAAAATCTAGGCCTTTCTAGGGGTGACAAAGGTTGGATCTCTGAGAAACAGATGCTGAGACAGAGTTAGGAGAAAAAAACAAAACAAAAAAAAACAGGGCAGAGGAAGCTGGATTGGGCAGGGAGAGCTGTCAGACTATGATGCAGAACTGACACAATCTCTGTTGGCCCAATGGGGAGTTCCTGAGAAAAAAATTGCTCATCAGAGACCAACCTTCCATGGGAATGGCTAGGCCTGTACCACCCACCACCTTGCTCAGTCATTGGCCAGGGGCTGGTGAAGAGTGGTACAGCTGGAAGCTGTCAGCTAGCTAAACTTTTTGCAGCTAGGTAGCCATTTCATTCTTGAAGGAACACCTGTTTGTATCTGCCAAAGGAGATTTGGTGTATCTTGTGTAGGTTCTAAAATGGTAATTGCATTGATCCTTAGGTTGTTGTAAGGATTGAGTTGGTATATTTTAAAGTAGTTACTAAGAAAGCTGAATTCAAGAGAATTGTATGCCCTTCACCCTTCTCCATCTTTGCATTGAGTTACTTAATGCAAGTTCCCTCTGGGAACTGCAGGCCATTGTGTCTATCATACTGTTAACTACCATCATGTAAAAATATCTGTTTACATGTTTCCTCTTCCTAGACTGAGCTCCCTTAGGGGCAGAAGTGTGTCTTATTTATTTATTTTTGTACCTACTCAACACTTGGTCTCTGAAAGAAAATAAATCTTCAGAAATTAACTGAATGAATAAGCAAGAAGCCACCTCTCGCTTCTCATAGTGATGGTTTTTATCCATCCAGTTCGAACTGGATCCACTGTTTATTTCATGTACAGTATTTTACAAGCTGCATTTATTACATACTCATTCCAGCAGGTTAGAATTAATTCACCTTCCAAAAAGATGAACAAATGAAGTGATTAAGAGTGAGAAATGCCCTGGTTGGTGTGGCTCAGTTGGTTGAAGCATCATCCTGTACACCAAAAGGTGGCAGGTTCAATCCCCACTTGGGGCATGTGGAAAGCAACCAATGGATGTTCCTCCCTCTCCCCTTCCCTTCCTCTTTCTGGAATCAATTACAAAAAAAAAATTTTTTTTTTAAGTGGGAAATGGTGGGCCTTGGAAGCAGCAATAAGGAAGATTAAAGGCTCTAAGAAGAGAAATTAAGGTGGAGAGAGAAAATAAAATAAAAGACTGTCAGTTAAGCCCTGGCTGGTGTGGCTCAGTTGGTTGGGGATCCTGTGCACCAAAAGGTTACCGGTTTGATTCCTGGTCAGGGCACATACCTGGGTTGCAGGCTCGATCTGCAGTGCATGCAGGAGGCAGCCAATGGATGTTCCACTTTCACACTGATGATCGTCTCTATAAGTCAATAAAACTAAAGTATAAACTCAGGTAAGAGAGGTAAGTGAAAGAAGAAAAAAAAAAAGGACAGGTAGGAAAAAGAATGAAAAGGAGACAGAGGAGTGTGGGGAGTCAGGCTCAGCGCTGACCTGCCCAAGGCAGTATTCATCAACAGAAGCCTCAATTAACAGCTGTTACCATAATGGGACCTGGCATCTAAAGAGAGGGCAAATCTAGTTTAATTAGTTAAGTGGCATTATCTATGTCCAATAGGGGCAGGGGAGGTAAAGAAAATAGAAGGATTGGTGACCCATCTCTTTCCACAGGCTGAAAAGAAAAAGATTTATAAAGCTCTGCCAGGAATTAGAGACAGGAGCTGTTTCTTCCCTGACTTGAGTTCATAAGATTCCCATGTGTTCCTATTCATCAGTACCTTTAAAAAAAAATAAATGTTTTTACTGATTTTAAAGAGAGGAGAAAGGGAAAGGGAGAGAAACATAGATGAGCTCCCTGCTTCACACTCCCTACTGGGGATCAAGCTGCAACTCCACCATGTACCCTGACCAGGAAGCAAACAGGTGACCCCTTGGTGCATGGGATGATGCTCAACCCACCGAGCCACACTGGCCAGGGCTCATCAGTATCTTTTAAAGGGACCTGTACTGTTCCAAAGGGGGCAACTAGAATCAGACATTGTTCTTTACCTTGAATCAAACCAAAATAGGTTTACTCACCTCCTCCCTTCTGTCTCCCAGCCAGCCTTATATCAGTAGTCCTGAATTGTGTAGCAGGAAGCCAGTACCCACTGGTGGTAGCACTAAGACTGTGATTCTGTCAACTTGGGTTCTTAATCCAACTCTGACACTAATTGGCTGAGTAACTTTGGGCAAATCATTTTGTAGTTCCATCAGTGAGATTGTAGTTTTACAAAAAAGAAAAAAAAAAATTTGGAGCATCTTCTCTTTATGAAACCAAGAGTCAAATATGAACCTTACCATGTTGTAAAGAAACAAAGTAAATAAATAAATAAAATATATATATGCTTCATTTCATATTCCCACCCCCAATGTACTTCTTCTGCTAAGAATCCTCCTTTATCTTGTTGGTAGAAATTATTAGAGGTGAATTACTTTTTCTTTCTGTACATATCAGATCTCAAGGATCATAAAGATTAATTCATCTTGTTCTACAGATTAACTGATGTCAGCCAGGCTGGCCTGGAGTTCAGGAAAGACTGATTAAAAAAACAGCTTCCAGCCCTGGCTGGTTTGGCTCAGCAGTTAGACCATCAGCCTGCAGTCCAGAGAGACCCGGGTTCGGTTCCAGCTAAGGGTGTGTACCTCGGTTGCAGTGTGTCTCCAGCCCTGGTTGAGTCATGAGGGTGGCAGCCACTCGATATGTACCTTTCACATCAATATTTCTCTCTCTCTCTCTCTCTCTTCCTCTCCCGCTCTATCTTAAAACAAACAAACAAAAAAAAACACAAAAAACAGCTTCCAACCTTTAAACCAAACCAAACCAAAAAACCCCAACAAAATAAAACAAAAGCCTGGCAGTATAAAGTTCTAAGCAAAAAGAAAGCCTAGAAAATGACTGCACACAGTGGGCAAATCCCCTCCTTTTTGAGAACACAACGTCCATTTCCACAGGGAAACTACATTTTCTGGAGGTTGTTTTAAGACAAGGATGAATAAATTAAATATTTTAACACCATATGCTTAGCTTTTGGCAAGACATGTAGGTGGGAAGGGAATCTCAATGTTAGGGAATGCCATATCACACCCCAGCTGGCTCTTTAGTCATGAAATAAGGAAAAACACACAAATATTTGGTTAAAACACCTTTAATGAAAAGGGAAAGTCACTACCATCTCCCTTGTCTGCTCTTCACATTTTACTATGTTAGGAAGCTCTGGAGCCTACGCCTTCGGAGGAGAAGCCATCATTCAAGTCAGTCACTAGCAGAACCAACACTTTCTCCTCCTCAGAACTGTTCCAAATGATCCTATGTTAAGAGTAAATACTACATCTCATTATAAGATGGAGAGGCAGGGAGGACACCACCTGGAGCTCATCTCCCAAAGTCTGAGACTCAAAGAACCAGACAGTAGTAAAGACATAAGCCCCGGTTCATGGACAGGCAAAATGGGAAGGAAATGGGTCTTGAGAGGAAAATACAAGGGGCCAAGGTATAAAGGAGGAAGTTATCTAAAACTAGAAGCACACTAGTGCTAGGAAATCTCCCATGATCCATGGTGTACTGCTGCATACTAAGTTACTATTAGTCCAAAAGAATATTCATGAGCTCCATCCAATCAAGAATTTGAGGTCCACTCCCTTACATCATGTCCCTTTCTTGATCACATCATGTTCCCAATTTAAATCTCTATACTTAAGCAATACTCCTCAACTCTCCATCATTACTTCTTCAACTACCCTCACTGACAGTGCTTGTTAAAGATATGAGCTAACTTTACATTTCCTAAAAGATTCCATGGGAGACCTCTTGGTAAGAAATCCACTGGTTTCCTAACTTTGAGAGGCAATGATGAAGGAATATGAGAAGCTGGAGATGTCTTAGCATATTGACCTGTGCCTTAATGTGATTTTCAAGGAGCTTACTGGCAAGAGTATGCCCTTCATTTCTCCCTACCTCTAGGGCTGAGCCACAGATACAGATATTGCTGTAGCTTCATTGCTAGCACCTTCTGGAGCAGGGGGAAGGAGAAGGAATGTACAGTTTGCTACTTTTCTTTTATGATAAGCTGTTCAGGCACTACCTTGGATGCAGGAGACTGAAATAAGAAGGCTCTTTTCTCTTTGACATCTCTGAATCTTGTGGCTGGAGGCACCTTCCCAGCCACAGTTCTTGGGCCAAAGAGCACTGGTGGTGCTGAGGTGGAGATGGAACTCACAGGCGTGGCGGGCAGGTCACTTGACAGGAAAGCCACGTGCTGCTTCCAGAAAGACAGGGGACCCACCCTCAAGAGCTGGGCGGGCGTGTCTTGGGACAAGAAGCCCTATAGGTTGAGCTGGTCACCAGAGAGGAGTGGCACTGGGCCCTCCAGGGACAGCTGCCAGCCTCTGTGGGCTGGGCTGCAATTTTAAATGTGGGTGCTCAGGTGCACCTGTAAAATGAAAGGGAAAGGAAAAGAGGAGAGGGGAGAAGGGTCACCCCAGGGAAGCTGGGAATGGTTTCCCATGGGAATGTGAAAGCTGTAGAGAATCTATTTTTCTTGGGTACAATGAATGAAGAGAGAAGAAAAATTCCTCAGGGGGTTCCATCCCCCTGTGAGCACAACAATTTCCAAGCTCAGGGACTGGAGAAAAAAACCACTTGGGACATATTATGTAAGAACTCAGAGAAAAAGCCAAATAAGGGCTCTTATATATTGAAGGTCCTTCTACAGAGCTCTCAGTTCCTACAACCTAGGTCAAAGGGCAGCAGGTACAAAAAAACAGGCTCAAGGGATTGTAGGGTCATCTTTTCGGGGAAAGGGGGAGAGCCCTGGGGAAGTGATGGAAGGTGAACAGCCTGGGACCAAGGAAAGAGCAGCAATATTCTGAGGGCCATGAGGGGCAAAGGGCTGTACCTGGTGGTGAGCCAGCAGCATATGCTTCTTGAGGGTAGCCCGCTCGAGAAAGCCCTGCCTGCAGAAAACACAAGTGAGGAGTGGCCCCTCCTTGGGGTGGGTCTTCTGATGCTCCTCCAGAGCTGCCTGGGTGGGAAAGGTTTGGCCACACACCTCACAGGCCTTTCTGCTACTGCTCTCTCTTGGCTCATTTCTCATTACTTCCTGCTTGCTCAGCTCCTCCACCAAGGTGGTGCTGCTGCCTTCCCCTTCAAGGGTGAGTGCTGCCGTTGGGCTTGAGCTTCTCTCCAGTTTGCCCCCATCTTCCATGCCTCCTGCAACATCACCGCCTCCCTGCTCCTTCAGCTGTGTTTGATCCAGGCTGTCTGGTGGTGGAGGTGGTGGCAGTGGTGGCGGCGGTGGTGGAGGCAGAGAAGGAGGTTGAATCCCTTTCTCACTCTTGTCCATCTCCTTTCCAGCTGTGGCTGCTGCCACCACCATCCCCACTTCCTCCTCTGCCCCAGATGCCTCTTCGGAATCACCTCGCACTGATATTGCTTTCTCACCTCCACTCTCTGAGCCTCTTCCTGCCAGAGAATCTTCATCAGTCACATCCTCCTCTTCTTCCTCTTCCTCCTCCTCCTCTTCAGACAACTCCTCTTCTGGGGATGGCTGCTGGGATGGCTGCTGGGGGAAGCCCCCTGCCCCAGAGATGGTAGATTGCTCAGAGCCATTCTCCTGGGCAGCTACCCCACCTTCAGGGAGCGTGGTACCACCATTGGGAATTTGGCCCCCCAGGTGCATCCGAACATGCTGCTGCAGAGACACCGCATTGGTGAACTTCTTCTGGCAGATGGGGCAGGAGTTCTGGGCTCGAGCAGCTGGACTGGCTTTGTGGCCCACGAAATGTGCACGCAGATTGCCCCGGGTGGAAAAAGCTCTGCCACACACTTTGCATTTGAAGGGCCGCTCACCTCCATGTTGGCCATAATGTAGGCGCAGTGCTCGAGGACAGCTCAGCACCCGGAGGCAGATGACACACTGGTTAGGTCCAGATGAGGCTGAAGAGGAAGCTGCAGGGGCAGAGGTGGTGGCGGCTCCTGAGGTGGTAGAAGCCACTGCTATGGCTCCCTGTCGGTCGATCTTTTCTACCAGTTGCTGCAGCTTCGACGTCTCAGAGGGTGAGGCCCCCAAGGGCTCTAGCACATAGGGGAAGGGGAAGCTCCCTGTGGACTTAAAGTGGTTGGTAAGCAGTGCCCAGCTGGGAAGTGAAGTCACCAACTTACTTAGTTGCATGCGAGTTGCTGTGCCACTTTCTGTCACTGCTGCAATAGCAGAGGCCTCAGTCCCTGGAGGAGTATTTTCATCAGCTTTACTCTTTGGCTCTACTGCTTTCATGAGCACAAACTTATTGAAAGCAGGGAGTGCAGGAGCTGCGGCTGTGCCTGCACCGGTGGACAGCAGTGTCAGGCTCTCTGTGGCACTGAGTGCTGTGGTGGAGGCCACCAGAGGCTTGCGTTCCACACCTCCACCTGGCATGGCTGCCTCCTCCTCGGCCTTCTCTGGTGGCACGGACATACCATAGGGCAGGCCACTGCTGGTGATGACATAGTCTAGGTGCTCTGGCACCGGGTGAGGGTTCATCTGTACATGCGGGTACTTCTCACGATGCCGGTGAAAATGTACTTTGAGGTTGCCGCGGGTGGTAAAGCGGTTGCCACAGACGTTACATTTATAGGGCCTCTCACCTGTGTGTGAACGCAGGTGGATCTGCAGGGCACTGTCACTGCCAAATACTTTGGCACAAAAGCGGCATTTGTGCCGTCCACCAGGCTTCTCCAAGGGACCCATCACTTCCCCATAGCCCAGCTCACCACTTCCGTTCTTTGGCTTCAGGAGCCCTGGAGAGGCAGTAGCCTCGAGGCCTCGAGCTGCCCCAAGACACTGTGCTGCCAGTAGTCCCGTGGTGCCTGGGAATGCCAGGTGAGGTGAGGCAATCAGCTGATCTGTGCTCCCTGGCAGGGCTGGGGAGGGGGCAGGTGTGGGTTTGTGGCTTCGCCCAACCCCTCCAGCAGAAAAAGGGTGCTGTGACCCCAGCGGATGATAAAGGTGGAAGAAAGCCTGCTTGGGCGTTTCTGCCCCTGAGGAGGAGGAGGTGGAGGAGGAAGAAGGTGCTAGTGTCTTGCCAGTTTGGACAGGCTTGATGGGGCTGAAGAGTGGAAGCAGGGGCTTCGTGGAGGCGGCAGCCCCCGTCCCAGGTAGCTCTGATGGACTGGCAGGGGTGCCCACCGTCTGGCCTAAGGAGCCAAGCAGTAGTACCTGCCTGCAGATTTGCTCAGTCATCTGCATCTGATGGATCTGGCGCTGCTGCAGCACCCGGAGCTCTTCCAAGATCAGAGGGATGTTCAAGTGGCCACTGCCTACACCTGGGGGCTGAGGAGGAGGAGGAGGGGGTGGTGGTGCAGGGGTGGATTCTGGAGGTAATGGGGTTGCTCCCAGCTTGGGACTGGTCAATATCAGGCCCCCACCTCCCCCGGCTGCTGTACCTGTGGCAGCCACCAGGAAATGCCCTGCAGATTCCTCTCCTCTCCGCTCTGCCCCCCAGGTGGGATCTGTGGGCACCGAGGATCCAGAATCCGAGGGGTTGCTGTGCTCTGCCTCCATGACCTGAGGACTGTTGTGGCCTTCAGGACGGGGTTCAGAAGAGGTCAAAGAGTTGTTGGGGTTCTCCTGGCCTCCAATTATCACCATTACAGGGGGTTCAGTAGAACACGCATTCTGGTGAGCGAGGAATTCAGTCGGGTTAGTGAATTGTGCGCAGCATTTGGCACAGACTTGGGGGTGGTCCTCCTCGCTAGCATCACCTGAGAAGAAGAGAAGAGAGCGTGGGTGGTGCGGCTGGAATGGCTATACCGAGGTTCTAATTAACCACGAGCCCAGTAACGGCCAGTTGGGGGAGGGGAGATGAGCGCACCATCAGGCCACGCAGAAGGCTAGAGCTCAGTCGTGACCCTCTTGGACGCGAAAACCCCAGTGTGAGGGTGGGGTGGGGTAGGGGCACACGAAAGCTACTGCCCTCCTCCGTGTCGTCCCCACCCCTCACCCCGCAACCGTGGGCCACCAGCGGGCGCATGGAATAACTGTGAGAACACCGAGAGGGTTTATGCAGAGGAACGTGCATTTGATCCGGTCCAACGAAAGTCCTCCCCTCCCCCCCAACGTGTCCCTTCTGCCCCCTCCCCTGCCCAGGACGGGCCCTACCGCACCTCCAAGCTCCGCTGGCTCCCCGCAGGGCCCCCTGAGAAGAGAGCTTCTCCCGGCTTCATGCGCCATGGTTGTAGGGGAGGTGGAGGGCCGGGTGGAGTGGGAGACAATGGGGATGGGGGTTGGGGGAGGTGGCGGTAGCCACTGGGGCTGCGGCAGCCTCTGCACCCAGCGGCCCAGACTGCAGAGATGGAGATCGGCGGGGGCAGGGAGCCACGGAGGAGGGGGAGGGGAGTAAGGCGGTGCGGAGGTGGGAGGAGCAGAAGCGAGAAAGCTGGGAGAGGGGAGATGGGGGTGGAGCTGCTGGGGAGGAGAGTTTGTGAGGAGGAACTGCTGGGGAGGGAGGCAGGAGCTGGAAGAGGAGCGAGGGGGAGGTGGGTGTGTGGGGGCGGGGACCCAGAGCCTAGGAGGGTTTCCCGAGGTTCAGTGACAGGTGCCGTGGGTCATGGGAGCGTCTACCTTTCCTTGCCCTCTGCCAGCTTCCACCATCTCCAGATGTCTTTGCCCAGGCCTCCCTCCTACCCCCAGCAAGCTCAAGGGGGCACAGTGGGAAACACAACCCTGTTCAATAGAGCAAAGCGATAGGCTTCTCCTGTTTTACTTTGCATAAAGGATCCGCTGAGCCTGGAAAACGTGGACTCCAGAGAGGGTGGTCTGATCTCCTCAGAGGAGCCGCAGAGGCCAGAGCGCAGGGGGCATCCAGAACATTCACCCATCATCAACACACACACACACACACACACACACACACACACACACACGGCAAAACACCCTAAGTTTTGTCCTATCTTCCTCACCTTCATTACCACCCTACCCTCACCTCCCTCCACAAAAGAAGTGTAGGAGGCTACAAGGTAGAATTTCCAAGGAAGTCATTTCAGGACTTCCCTCTTGGAACACCAAGCCCCTTGACACCATGCCCCTCCCTCCAGAATTATAGCTGAAAGCAAATTTCTCCGATGACCACCCGCCCCACACATAACTTACAAAGTTAATGCTTACTTAAGGAGGAATCTCCTAAGTGAGCCATCTTCTCTACCCTTTTTTCTTTATTGTCCTCTTGCAACCACACTGTCACTATTAAGGACAGCTGGGCTTGGGGAGATGCTGGCCTACAGAGGCCCACCTCGCTCTAACCCTGGGGGAGGAGAGCTCCTCCTGAGACAATGGGGAAAATGCAACAGGGGCTACCAGGCAGCCTCTCAGTGTCTAAGGCCTATTTCAGCTCCAATTTGGTTTGAATGCCTAGAAATGACTTAACACCTGCTCCCTGGCCCAGAGGCCACCTCCTAGTCTCCTATTCAGAGAAACCTACCTAGGAAGGGGTAAGATGCCTCCCGGATCAGGCACTCTGCATTTCCTTTCTACTTTCAAATGAATCGCAATGGATTCCCCACTTCCTAAAAGAATTTATTGCACTCACAGGAGGTGACCACAAGTTCTTACTTTTGTGGTTTGCCTGGGCAACAGTAAACCCATGTTGTTCTAATTGTCTTGCCTTACTGGTAAATTGAGGCATGGTGGTCAGTCACACCAAACTGTGCCACTATTTTCCGTTTTGTAAAGTGGTAATACTGTAGCGGTGCTGTCTTCCTCAGAGAAGTGTGCGGGGACAAAAACTTGAGAGACTCTTAGTATATACATACAGGACTTTAAATTTAGGGGGAGTGCCAAATACTATGGATTAGAGAATTGACAAAAGAAATTGTCAGTGGCAAAAGAAAATAAACTGAAATACACATATACTAAAATTAGATGTTTGTCATGTTGCTTATTAATCTTACCAATTTCTGCAGTAAGTTGTTGGCTAATACCACTGGTGTATGTCAAGGGTAGGGAGTCTTTTCTGGAAGGAGCTGAAACAACCTAATATAATAGTAGTAACATCCACTTAACTTTTGAACAGAAATGTTGCTATTTTTTTTCATTGAAAACCTTTTCCTGAACTATGTTTTGGGACTGCAGGTAATCAGGAGGATCATAACGTTGTAAATGATGGCTTTGTAACAGATGAGCTAAGGGCTTCCAGGCCAGACCCTTCTGATGAAGAAATGGGAGGGTCTATTGCAATTATGGCAAGTCACAGGGTAGTGCAATGTTTGTTTTTACACATAAGGAAGTTGAAGCTTAGAGAGATTAAGTGACTTCCAAGTCCACACAGTAAATCAGTGAAGGGAGCATTCAGAATTTTGACTCCTGTCCTGAGCGTGCTGAAGCACAGCTGCACTGTATGGCTTCCCTAATACTAAAGACAGGGCCCTGTGTGGCTCCTACCTGCCATTTGCTCTCTGGCCTCACTAAGGGCAAGGGAATCAGATGGAAGCTTTCTACTGAGCATTTGTTAATTAGCATTGAACATTTGATATCAAGTTGCTGTTTTGTCAAGTCTTCTGACAAGAAAAGAAATCCTTTTCTTTTCATCTTCTCCTGGGAAACACTGTCCCCTTTCTTGCTCTTTAATGAAACTTGCTTTCTGATGCGTAATTTGATCTGCACTCTTCTTTAAGGTAAATTTAGTCCCTGGTGAAAGGTGACGGATCAACAGCCACCTGTAAGAGGAACCCTCTATTTCTCAGCACTTTGCACTCACTGCCTATCCTGAAAAGGGGGGCAGAATTCTTAGGCAGCTACAAATGAAGTCATAAACACTGGAATAAACTAAGCTGGTAATGGTGTCTAGATAGTAGATAAGGTGAGGTAAGCTATTCTGGGTCACATGCAAAATCTGGGATGGATGAAGGCCTAAAGTCTGGATATGCTTGTTTAAATTTACAAAGAGCTGAAATGACAAGGAAAAGGGGAACAAGGCAGCTCCCTAACACTGGGCCTGGAACTGCTGCTTTAGGCTAGGGGAGAACAAAGGGAAAAACCGGTGGGTAGTGTGCAGCAGGGTGGTTTAGCTGAACAATGGTTCTCAAATTTTGCTGCCTATTACAATGAATTAATTCAGAGTCCCTGAGAGTGAGACCCAGGCATCAGTATGTTTGTAAAATTCCTCAGGTGATTCCACTGTCCAGACAAGGATGAGAACCACAGTACCTGTCAGAGTCCTGCGCTTCCCATCAAACCTTCTACCCTGCTCCTCACCAATCTTATCTGTGCTCAACCTGGCCCAAATGAGGACATAGGCCAAATAAACCACTCACTGCTAAATCTTCCTATCAGGTACTCTCTATACTCTGCCCGCAGCCACACTTCAGCTCTCTCGCATCCTGCTTCCGTGAACCAAACTTGATCATTTAAACCTGACTGAATTTAGCCACTGGGTTGCCTTTCCCCATGTGCATATTGAACCACAGTTCTAACTGTAAGATGAAAGGCTTTGTTCTACAAAGAGTTTGAAAAATTTCCAGCCATTAAAAAACAAAACACACCATGTAAGCACCTGCCTAAACTTACTGTTAACATTGGACCAACACTAATTGGTGGTGTCCATAGTTATTAATTGATTCTGTAACTGCTGCTATAGACTATTTCTAAAGGATAATGTCCCATCTTCTCTTCCTCACTCCTGTCTCCTAAAACCACACAGGTACTCCTTTCCTACCCACACCTACTAACACACCCATGGCCTGTGCAACACAATAGATAAGTATAGGGGCACAGTGATTTGTACAGCTGGTGCTAAGTGACAAAAATATATCTGTTTCCAGAATAGGAATATCTTAGATCAAACATAAAAAAGTTTTTTTAAATGGATATTTTTCTGACATCAAAAGACTCAGAACTTGCCCTGGCCGGTTTGGCTCAGCGGTTAAAGCGTCGGCCTGCGGTCCGGAGAGACCCGGGTTCGGTTCCCGCTAAGGGCATGTACCTCAGTTGCAGTTTGTCCCTGGCCCTGGTTGGTCGTGCGGGTGGCAGCCACTCGATGTGTCCCTTTCACCTCGATGTTTCTCTCTCTCTCCCTCCTGCTCTATCTGAACAAAGAATGAAAAAGTGTCCTCGGGTGAGGATAAAAAAAAAAAAAAAAAGACTCAGAACTTAACATGGAATTCATACCACTTTGGAGCTGAAAAAGACTTGAGAGATCGGACTCATTCATTGAACTCAGCTCTGAATCTAACAGACCTGAGTTAAAGTCTCAGTTCTAGAACTTTTGAATCTTTGTGACCTTGGGAAAGTTTCTTAATCTATCTCAGGCTTGGATTTCTCATCTTTAAAATGAAGGTATAGCCATAAAAAGGAATGAAATGCTGACACATGCTACAACATGGGTGAGTCTTGAAAGAATGAATGTTAAATGAAATAGGCCAGGCACAAGAGGACAAATATTATATGCTTTCATTATAGGAGGTACCTGAAATTGGTAAATTCACAGAGACCGAAAGTAGAGTGGTGGTTGCCAGGAAATGGGGTGGGGGATAGGACAGGGGGTATTATTGTTTAATGGGTATAGAGTTTCAGTTTTGCAAGAGGAAAGAATTCTGGAGATGGATGGTGGTGATTGTTGTACAACATTGTGAATATACTTAAGACCACTGAATTTTACACTTAAAAATAGTTAAAATGGTAAATTTTGTTATGTGTATTTTACTACAATAAAATTGTTTCTTTTAAATGGAGGTAATAATAACATAGTTGGGAGGAATACACAAGAGGAAATACACAAAGAGCAAAGAGTGTAGCATAGTACCTGACAAACAGTAAATGTTCCACAAATATTATTGACAAGTGTTGTTAATTACAGGCCAAAAGGTGAAGCCCCGGGAGAAGGAACTTGCCCCAGGTCACATAGTTTCAAAGTCCAGGCTGGACTGAAAACCAGGCTTTCTGCTTCCTTCTCCAGTTCTCTGTCACATCATGCCTGAGTTACTTCTATCCACTCAGAAATGTTCTCTTTTTGACCCAGGGGTACCTAGGGCTGAAAGGCTTAAGGTTTAAGCCTGATAGATGATGCTCTCTACTTCCAGATATAAAGAGAACAGAGCCCTTAAAATTCTATTTTTGCTTTCTTCCCACTTTGCTGCTCTTGATGTCAGCCAGCTTCCATTTCTCCCTCTAGATCTGTTTGGCTGTTGTCCTGGTTTCTCCTTCTCACTAAATATCTGGGTTTCTGATCGTTTCCTTTATTTCCCAGATGTACTAGTTTACGTTTTCCCTATTCACATCCCTTATGTTCTCTAATCCAGATTTCTAGACTCCGTGGGGGAGAGAGATTGTTTTCTCTCTAGACTTTTTAAGTA